GCATTTCCTGGCTTTTTGAATTGTGAGTATGGAAGCACAATATCCCACATTCATAAATCAGAGGGTTTTTTTAAAGAATTAAATCTCCTAGACCAGCCATTCTAGAACCATTCTATAAGGGAACCATCCATTCTCAGGGAGGCATATAGCTCCCTGGGAAGCCTGGAACATTTGAGGGGGATCACAGACTGGAAACAATTCTTTACAGAGCACCTTATAAGATTTGTTATGAAACTTTTAGAATCTTGATTCAGCATATATTTCTTTCATATTGTCTTTATGGCCATGGCCAAAAAAGGTTGCGGATAGCTGTTCTAGACCAGTGGTTCTTAACCTTTGTTACTCGGATGCTTTTGAACTGCAACTCCCAGAAACCCCTGTCAGGACAGCTGGTAGTGAAGGCTTCTGGGATTTGCAGTCCAAAACTCCTGAGTAACCTAAGGTTAAGAACCAGTGTTCTAGACTATAGCTGGCTAAGTATCTAAGTGAGCTAGGTATCTGGCTGTGGAGCTAGAGATTGACAGTTGTACTGTCAACTGTGCATCCTGTGAGTAGACCCAGTCTGTGTAGCCTTGGGCAAGCTGCACAGTCCCAGGGTGCCCCCAGAAGAAGGAAATGGTAAACCACTTCTGAGTATTCTGTACCTAGAAAGCCCCAAAAAGGAGTCACCATAAATCTGAATTGACTTGACAGCACACAATTATTATTATTGTCTTCTAGACTGAATACTTGAGCAGATTAAATTAATTTAAACAATCTACACAAAAGTCTCTGGAACTGCATAAAACTACGACTCCAAGAATCATTGGACCTTCTTTACAAAACATCTTCTAAAAAGATTAAATGAATATACAGTGGACCCTCTACTTACGGAATTAATCCGTATTGGAATGGTGGCTGCAGGTCGAAAAGTCTGTAGGCCGAGTCTCCATTGACCTACAATGCATTGAAAACCGATTAATCCCCCGTATTTTTCGCTCTATAAGACGCACCTTTCCATAAGATGCACCGATTTTTTAGGAGAAGAAAACAGGAAAATATAATCTGTTTTCTTCACTCCATAAGACGCACAGACTTTCCACCCCCCTGTTTTGTGGGAAAAAAGTGAGTCTTATGGTGCAAAAAATACAGTATTTATTTATTTACTTACTTACTTACTTACTTACTACATTTATAACCCACCCATCTAGCCCAAAGTCCAATACAGTACTGGAATTTATAATCCGCATTCTATAATGAGATCTTTGAGGTATAAAACATTTAAAATTAATATTATTATTATGCAGGGCTTTTTTAAAAATCAAAAACCATTTTAACAATAACAGTTGAAAATCTAACTTAATTGTTTAAGGTTTGAGTGGTAAAAATCCAATATAACCCACCCATCTAGCCCAAAGTCCAATACAGTACTGGAATTTATAATCCGCATTCTATAATGAGATCTTTGAGGTATAAAACATTTAAAATTAATATTATTATTATGCAGGGCTTTTTTAAAAATCAAAAACCATTTTAACAATAACAGTTGAAAATCTAACTTAATTGTTTAAGGTTTGAGTGGTAAAAATCCAATATTTAATTCACCCACCCCCCAGTCTGCTATCAATTTATTCTTTAAAATTCAAGTGGTGGCACTAAGTACCCTTTTCCAATAAGGTCTTGTTTGGTTAGGCTCTGACTAAACAAATGTGAGGTTGGGTTACTGTCGTTTCCCGGTTTGAACCAACACTGTTTCAAAACATCCTGCATCTCTCCGTGTAGCAGCTTGTACCTTCTCTGGGGAAACCACCTCAATCTGTCAGTTTTGACTGAGTGATAAATTGAGGATCTTTTAGCACTGAGGGAGAAAGAAAGAAATTGCCAAACCCTGGACAGTTCAAAATTAGGGTATATGGAGGGGGTATGAGATGAGTTATCTAAACAACAGAATGGAAGGGGAAGCTATCTTATCTGTTTATCAGATCCTTCTGATGTGCCATGCTAATCACTATCTGACCTGAATTGCTGATGACTTTGTCATCACATAATTTTCACATAATTTTTTTCAAGGCACTGGTTTAAACATCTCTTTTAGAGAATAATTGGCTGGGGGCGGCGGGGGGGGAAGTAAAATGAATATTGGAATGTTGGCCATTTGTCTTCTAACTCTAAATGATGGGAACATTTGCATCATTCAGTAGATCTTTTACTGGTTTACTTTGTAATTGGTTCAAAGTGGAGAGCCATTTTCTTTCTGTGTTCTGGCTAATATGGGTTACTATTTTTCCCCTAAATGATGTCTGCCATTCTGTCAACTCATAATTTCTGGGTTTTTCCATATGTTGTTCCTCTATTGATATGTTTTCTTCCACTATTATGTCTACCTCTACCCTCAATTTTCTTACATATTATGGTCATTGTTCTGTGTTGATTTTGCCACCTTTTCTGTTCTTGCTATTCTAGTTCTGAAAACTCTTTACTCCAGATGATAAACCTTCTCTGGTCCATTAATCATTTTTCAGTTATGTCATTACTGTACTTGGGTGTTTCCTTTTCAAATTTCCATCATTCTTTTTTGAAAACCATGGGCTGTTGGGTTTGCCTCATAGTAACATTTCATAATTTCTTGATTTTCAGTGAGAGTTCACGTTTTGCATTTACTTTGTTCCAGTAGCTTTGCAGCAGTGTGTCCTGGTTCCTCAACAGGGTCTGCTGAACCCTGTAGCCCATTTGTCACCAGATGCCCAGGGGCTATAGCATCTGACGTGGTTCTTGTTGACCCGGGTGATGACTGATCCAGTATGGATTTCTATTTATTTCCTCTCATCATAATTGATGGTTGGTGGATACAGTTGGTCTGGCTTCTCAGCTGAGACCTATCTGGCTTGGGAGACCCTTCAAAGGCCTGTACCCATGGAGGGATGATGATGATGATGACGACTGATGAGTGTGATATAATTCCCACTTTCCTCACTACACACTTCACTCACAAACAGTGGGTGAGAATTGCCCTTTGGGATACATTTAAACAGATTTCATTAGACTGGGTGTCTCCATATCTGGTGTTTGTTTGTTTTTAAATCATGAATGACCCAGATCATTAACATAATAGCTGATACGTAATGACTCCGCCACCAGTTAATATCTCATTATAAATAAATTAACTTTCATATAGTGTTTGATCCCTAATGTCTATGGACCGATGTTGCAAGGAAAGCCATACTGCTTAGGTTTACAGTTGTTGCATCAGTCCCTGAGAATGCTTCGTCGTGGAACAAACTACACCCCTACACTCTTGCTCATTCAGACATCAGCCTGGTGGGTGTGACTGTGAAAAAAATGTACTGGGACCATGTGCCTGCCATTTCCATTCACATTATTGCCATGAATAAATGTACTTTTCCTCAGTACTAAGAGAGTGCAGGAGCAGGTGCTATTCACCTTGCCCCAAGGCAGGAGGCAGAAATTGAGTGAATTCCTGCAGTTGTTGATTTCTCATCCGATAAAAACCCTGTTGGACTTAATCCAGACCTTGTGGAGTTGTGTTGAGAGGTGGGTGAGGATAGCAGGGAAGGTTGACTGACAGAATCCAGGGAGTAAAAGCTAGGGCTTTGATATGAGTCCCCCACTTTGGTTCAGAGGCCGATTTGGGGCTTTGGAATGAGTCATGATTCAGGCATTGGTCAAATATGGCACAACAGCATACTAAAAATCTCTAAAAAAGTAATTGTGTGAAATCACTTTCAAGAATTCCTCCTTGGGTCATTAAAACTGTAAACAAATACCAGCCAGTCACAAATACTCATTTGAGTAAAGTGGTCAAGAGAGTCACCAGCATATACTTTCAGATACATTTAGATGAGATGGATTATCGGGATCCTTGTCTATCTGGTTCCTGACTTGAGTTTTGTGTGAAAACACATTTGGTTTTTCTGACAGCAGATACTGAAGAAACAGCTCTGGAGTTGTCAGCACCAGACCTGGGCAGCATTGTAATCTGATCTGATCTTTAGTGACAATTCCATTCTGCTGTTTGTTGCACTGTTGTTGTGGTGTGTGGCTACAAGCCGTACAAAGCTTTGCAAAATGAAAACACTGAGTATGTACAGAAATAGCTAAAAAAATGTAAGTTTATGTGATGCAGAGCACCATCTTGTGGACATTTGGTGCCAGTGGATGTAAACACTCAGGCTGTGGCTAATTGACAAGCTGAATCAGAGCAATTTGGCTTAGCTGTAGCTTGATTTACAGTCTATTTTATGCTTGGATTCACTTTAGGTGATCACACGGAAAGTGGGGATTGATTTAGAACCATTGCCCATATTGTCCCCTCAGTTAAATCCAGCCCTCTGGACATCCAACATAAGCAGAACAAGGCTTCCTATAACACTTGATAAGTTTTCTCACACAGACACACCTACAGTTGTCTGTTTCCTGAACCCCTACAGGAAACCTTGCACATCTTCACTTCTTTGGCTCTTATACATTCCTTTGACCACATCACTTTATTAATTTGTTTATTTATCACATTTATATTTCTCCTCCTTCAAATAGTATACAAAATGGTATAAATGGTTCTCCTCCTCCACTGAAAACAACCTTGTGAGCCAGATTAGACTGAGAGTATGTGCGATTCGCCCTGGGTCAACCAGAGCCAATTTCATGACCGAGAGGGGAAGTGCCAATTTGAACACAGATCTCTTGAATCTTTGTTGAATGCTTTAACATCCACTCTACATGGACTCGCTCTCTCATATTGGTCTTCAGCCTGTCCTACCAAACAATGGCAATTGCAACATTTGTGAGGAAAACTCATTTTCATGTACCAATTATTCTGCCCAGCTTTCTGCTGGAATGTGAACAGTGGTCATCTAAGCTAGAAATGAATTTCAGTAGCCAGTCTTCAAGACTCAATAGCACCCACTGTCTTGAAACAATTGCAGGTCAATGTTTAGCAAATACAGTATACACGTCATTTGGTGAAGGTACAGTCATGCCCCGCTTTACGACTACCCCGTTTAATGACGAATCTGCTTGACGTGTCATTTGGTGAAGGTACAGTCATGCCCTGCTTTACGATTACCCTGTTTAACGACGAATCCACTTGATGACGATGTTTTGCGATCGCTTTTGCGGTTGCAAAATGGTTTTGCGATAGCTTTTGCGGTTGCAAAACGATGGTTTGAATGGGGAAAATCCGCTTTGCGATGATCGGTTCCCTGGTTCCGGAACCGATTTTCAGTTTACAACGATCAAAAACAGCTGATCGTCGGGTTTCAAAATGGCCACCGGGGGTACAAAATGGCTCCCCGCTGTGTTTAGGAGCCATTTTTCGCTTTACAGACACCCCAAAATGGCCACTCCTATGGAGGATTTTCGCTGACTGTGAGTTTTCAGCCCATTGGAACGCATTGAACGGTTTTCAGTGCGTTTCAATGGGCTTTTTAATTTCGGTTTATAATGTTTTCGCTCTACAGCGATTTCACTGGAATGAATTAATGTCGTTAAGCAAGGCACCACTGTAATCCTGTTATATACCCTACAGCAGGAATGCACAACACATGGGTCACATATAACTCCCAGGATGTTTCGTGCAAGCTCTTGCCTTGGAATTGCCCTGCTGAGCCTATGGGAAGAGCTATTGTAGTCATGCAGGGTTTTTTTCGGCGAGATAAAACTGTCCTTATTTACAACGCTGCTGCTGAATGGTCATTCTTTGAAAGTGGCAAGAGCCTTCAGCTGAATGATGCTATCTCATTTGCATTTGTGAAGTTGCAGCCATAGTGGTTATGTTGTCAGTGTAGAGATGCTCATTTTATTTATTTATTATTTTATTCAATTTATCTATTCAATTTATATGCATACTATTCTGGGTGGTTTACAAGCAGCTCTAAAACCAATATAAAAATACAATCAACAATAAATTAAAACAGGAATAACAGGTAGAACTGGACCAGATGGCATCAGGAACAACTTTCCCCCAAAAAAGCAGAGCAGAGACATTGGGAACTGCCAGCCAAGATGGATTTTAAGAAAGCGTACAAGATTGGTTTAAAGAAAGGAAGAGTCTTTGTTCAGACCAGCTTGATGGAAGGGACCCAGAATGAACTTTTAATGTAGGAGATATGTGAGGAATCCACTGCAACTCACATCTACAAAGCATGTTTCACATGGGGATTCCCTTACCCAACCATATTCTAGTGTAAAAGGAAATAAACACATGCATCTACCCCACTGTCACAAGCAGCTCTCTTTGTACTTCAGCAAGGGCATGCTGAAAACAATAAGGTGATTGCAGTTTTCACCCTTCCTTCCTTTAGCTAACCAGCTTTAATTCATTGGTTGGCATAGGGGAAATGGTAATAATGACAATGAATGAATCTTCTATTCAACTTGATCCAAGGTAGCTAGATCAAAAATTAATCACAATTTTTGGTAGGAGAAAATCCAATGTAATGGTGTCTCATCTTTTTATTTCTTTCAGCTTTGAAGGATCAAACAGCGGAACGTATCTTCAATGACTGTAAGTTTCAAGACGCCATGTTAATTATGAAAGAAACAAGAATCTTTTTAAGAAAAATTGCAAAACTAATTGCAGTGATTAAGTCTTCATGGCTGACTCAGACAAGCAGGGGATAATCTCCACCCACTACTATACCAGCATTCTTTAGTCTGATGCCTTTTTGGCGTCTTAGTCAATATCCCTGTTCACTGACCATATTGGCTTGGTTTGTTGGTACAGTACTTACAATATGAAGACATGATTTTGGCAAATACCGGTTCTGGAGTTTGCCCCTTTCCCATAGCAGGAAGAAGGATTGTTTACTGACTAATTTACTAAGGATTAGTTTACTGACTAATTCTTCCATCAGAGAGGAGGTGCTCTTGAATTCCCAGAGTGGCTTTGTGTTTGTGGGATGCTCTTCAGAACACATCTGTCCTTATCCCCCCCTCCCCGTATCTTTGGAATAAATGTGCCCAGTTTTTGCATCCCAAAATGTTCTGGAGTAATCTGGCATCCATCCTGCCATCCATTCAGATGATCAGCCATTTTTACAGATGGAGATCTGAGGTTCTCAAACAGTGACAATGTGCCATCTTTGGAAGCACCTCGTATACAGTCTCTCTTAAATGACTTTTCAGCCACTGTGTATGAGGTAGTACTGTAGGTGGTGTTATGGCAGCTCATGTGTCTTAGATTTAAGCAGGATTAGAAAGCAGGCGAGAGCAGCAGCAGCAGATGATGATGATGACTGGGGCATTTTTATTTGGGCAATGAACTTGATGCTCACCCTTATTTATTTTTATTTATATATTTATTTAAATATTTATAGCCCATCCTATATCATTATATCTCAGGGCGGGTTAAAAAACTGTATAAAACAATTTTGAAACATAAGATATTTAAAACACTTTAAAATCAAGGAACGCAAAATTAAGACACTCCTGTAGTAAAACCATTGCACTAAAACCTGCGCAGGCCATAATCCACAGTGCCTCGTATAATACTGCCTTCACAGATATTTGTACAGAATGGAAGAGTGGTTTCTCAGAGCATACTTTTATTTTAAAGGAGAGTGTGAAGTTGGAAAAAAAAGACAAAGTGTGTAACACTGCATTCCTATACTACATGTGTACTCAGAAATCTCATTGATTAAATGGAAGGAAGAGGTTCCCCCACCTCTGTAATTGTGTACAAGCCTGCAGCCTCATTTAAGGATCAATACTATAGAGTGAGAGTTTTTCTTCTGATGAGGAGTCTTCAAAACTTCCTCATTTTATCCTAAAGATTCATGGGATGAACTTACGTCTTCATCATGGTTTAATAAGCATGCATTTTGACCACAAGTGTGTTGCTGCTAAATTTGCAGAGCCTAACATGGAACAGGAAGAGAGAGCATGGGGTGCTAGTAGTAGGCATCCTTCAGTCTCGAAAGACTATGGTATCGTTACTTTTATTTTAAAGGGGAGTCTGAAGTTGGAAAAAAAGACAAAGTGTGTAACACTGCATTCCTATACTACATGTGTACTCAGAAATCTCATTGGTTAAATGGAAGGAAGAGGTTCGCCCACCTCCGTAATTGTGTACAAGCCTGCAGCCTCATTTAAGGATCAATACAATAGAGCGAGTGCTTTTCTTCTGATGAGGAGTCTTCAAAATTTCCTCATTTCATCCTAAAGATTCATGGGATGAACTTAGTCTTCATCATGGTTTAATGAGCATGCATTTTGATCACAAGTGTGTTGCTGCTAAATTTGCAGAGCCTAACATGGAACAGGAAGAGAGAGCATGGTGTGCTAGTCATGTCCAGGGAAGGTGAGAACACTGAAGTCTAGGTTTTTCTTAGTTCACTCTTCCACGCAGAACTGGATTAAGAGGTAATAGGCAAACTTTGATACAAGGTCCACTGTTAAAAGTAGGTGCAAACAAACGTCCAGGGAAGTCTAGGATTTTCTTAGTTCACTCTTCCACGCAGAACTGGATTAAGAGGTAATAGGCAAACTTTGATACAAGGTCCACTGTTAAAAGTAGGTGCAAACAAACCCTCTTTGATTCCGCCCCCCCCCCCACGAATGATTTTGTGACCAGCAAAATCATGTCCAGTATTCACTAAACCTCACAACTGCTTTCTTCCCCACCTGACATGAACAGTCTGCGGGCTTCGATACAACAGATCAGTAGCTGTGGCAGGACTACCAAGAATAACTGGAGGAATCCCCAGTTACGGAGATGGGGAATGGCCATGGCAGGCCAGTCTCCAGCGGGATAACATCCATCGCTGTGGTGCAACGCTAATCAGTAACACGTGGCTTGTGTCTGCAGCCCATTGCTTCAGAGAGTAAGTTTCTAAATGGGATAAAAGGTTATATGCCTCCGTGTCAAATCCATTGACCAGTATGTTCAGTGTTGTTTACTTTGAGTGGCACTGCCTTCCACAATCGTAGGCAGGATGAATTTTTTTCCACCAGCTCATTGTTTTTAATTGGAAGTGACTGGGATTAAATTTGGGATGTTCCATATTCAGTGGATGTGCTCTACTGCTGAGCTATGGCCCTCCCATAGAAGAAACATTCCTGTCATACAGATCTCTATAATGAAAACTGGGAGGAACAAAAATCTTCCTGTCTTGAATCAGGAGGAACAAAAAACATTTCAGCCAACTCAAGCCCACAAGTGAAGTTCACCTAGACTAATTTTTGCTACTTGTATAATTTTTAAATTTTCTTCATTTAGCAAAAGCAGCTACAAACTTTGCAGTGTTATTATGGGCCCCCCTCACCACTCTCCTCCATTGAAAGGGGGGGGGGGAAATGGAGTAAAAATATTTTTATAAAGCTGTTTTCTCATCCCACTGACACTATTGCAGTATTTATTTTGGAAAGAACATGCTGTGACAGGCCACCCCAGATCGGCATCTCTGTCCCACAGCAAACCGAAGCTGGGAGAATTCTACAGGAGAGAAGTCTGTAATTTTGGCCCCAGTGATATTTGAAAAATCATTCCTACCAAGAGTACAAACCAATCCATACCATGATAACTCAAATTCAGAATACATTATGACCACAATACTCTTCAGAATTTATGCTGGTGTAGTAGTAAGTGCATAAATCACTGTGGAAAACTATTACTAATGTTGGTGCTCAAATTCCTGGTTATGTGCTAATCACATGACTTGGTACACAACTAGGAATGAAAGCAGCAACCTGTTAATTAGTGGCCATTTGCCACCAAGCTTTATGCAATTACTATTACACCAGAGTACAATAAATCCTGAATAGGATTCCAGACACCATAAATTGAGCCTATGTGCATGTGTTTTGTTCAGATTAATTTGCTTTCATTTTTTCTCCGTAAGGACTTCAATGGTGATAGGTTGACTTACCAAATCCCTACTAATTCAATGGGCTTACTCTAGTGAACTTAGTACACTAAGCAATAGGATTTCAGGCACTGGGAACAATGTATCTCATTTGCTTTCTAATACTAATGTAGAGGCATTTGTCTGACAAAATCAGAGTATTTATATATATGAGATAATTCTCAGGCAGTGGAAAATGGAAGATTGTATGCATATACAGGTACACGTATATATACGTACATGTACATATGCATACAATCTTCCATTTTCCCCTCCCTGAGAATTCAACGTTCTCTCTCCCATCACATTGACCCTGTTCTCCCCAAGCCAGGCTCTTAAATCCTTTGGAATATGGAATCTGCCAGAGAATATATATGTAGGCGTAGGGATGGTAACTCATAAATCCACCTTGTTTGTTGCTCCTGTAAGTGCTCCCTCCCTCAAGTCTTGATTGTCTTAGCATACATGGATATGAGAATGCACATACTGGATTAAAGTGCTCAGAAGGAGCAGGGATGTTAGTAGTGAAGGGAGAAGAACAAGTAGCTGTCAGGTGCTGAAAACAGCATTGCCTCCAATAGGTAAAGGTCCTAGCTGGAAAACTCTTTGGTCTCTAGGTCACTGCAAAAGATGGCACATGAACTTCCAATGTCTTCTAGACTTTCAAGACCTTCTGCTAATGAGGATTAGTAGTTTGTTGCTTTATTTAGCAAAAAATGGAAAAGAAAAATCTTTAATTATTTTTTGAAAAGGTAACTGTGTTTGTGCATGCATATCAAGCAAAAACAAAAACAAAATAAAAATTAAAAAAGATGGAAGCATTGTGGCACCTTAAAAATTAACTATTATATTTTAATGTAAGCTTTTCATCTTAAATTATTTTTCGAAAAGGTAACTGTGTTCTTCTGCACAAGCATATCAAGCAAAAAACAAAAACAAAATAAAAATTATAAAAGATGGAATCATTGTGGCACCTTAAAAATTAACTACAGTATTATATTTTAATGTAAGCTTTTGTGGACCTTCTTAGCCCACTTCAACAAAGCTGGAAAAGAGAGATTAACCAATATCATGTGGGCAGAGCTTGGAAAATTAACTTCTCTGGAACATAATTGCTAGAATTTCCTAGCGAGGATGTCCTCCAAGGCTGAACAATTCTGGGAACTGCAATAACAAAACAAAGCAAGACACAAAAAAATTTTAGCATGTGGTGCCTCAGAAATAATTTCATGGAGCAATCCTTCTATATCACACTCATCTTGATCTCCTGCATCTTTTTCTCCCAGAGCAAAAAATCCACGTAAATGGACTGTTACCTTTGGAACATATTTACGGCCACCGCTAATGATACGGCATGTCAGGACCATCATTGTTCATGAACAGTACCGGTACCCAGCCCATGAACATGACATTGCTGTTGTACAGCTAGCTAAACATGTGGAGTTCTCAGGTGTGGTTCATCATGTGTGCCTTCCTGATGCAATGGAGGTTTTTCCATACAACATAGATGCGGTTGTTACAGGATGGGGAGCAGTAAGTAATGATGGTAAGCACCTAGAAAAATATAGTATCTTGTATCTTTAAGGAATGATTAGATTAATGGGCAGCAGGGCTGTATCTAGAGTGAAGCAACTAGGCCTTTGCCCTAAGGCCCCAAAATGTTGAAGGGACTGAAGTCTAAAGATGAACATACTGGTGAGTGTTAGGAATGTATGTATGTATGTATGTATGTATAGTGAGTGTTAGGAAATAAATGGCAACACCTCCAGGCCCCATCCCTCCTCTTTCTTTCTTTCTTTCTTTCTTTCTTTCTTTCTTTCTTTCTTTCTTTCTTTCTTTCTTTCTTTCTTTCTTTCTTTCTTTCTTCTGATGAGTCTAGGTATGTATGTATGTATGTATGTATGTATGTATGTATGTATGTATGTATGTAGGTAGGTATGTAGGTAGGTAGGTAGGTAGGTAGGTAGGTAGGTAGGTAGGTAGGTAGGTAGGTAGGTACCGTTGACTTAATGTGGGACACTACTTTAGCATCCTCTTGAATGATGAGAGGGAGGAGACCTGACGGATTTCAACAGGGAGCTGTTGACTTAATGTGGGACATTACTTTAGCATCCGCTTGAATGATGAGAGGAGACCTGACGGATTTCAACAGGGAGCCCAGTCAATAAAGTAGGGACCAAAGTCTAGAAGACATGATTTCTGGCAACTGTTCTCTTAGCCTCTCTCAGTGTAACAACCTGGAGGAGTAAGGCCTGTGACAAATGGGTGGAACAGACTGCTATTGAGGGAAAGATGCTCCAACAGACACCTGTACAGGTGTGCTGTTTGCCCTAGGTGCCAAAATTGCTAGCTACAGGGGATTTAAAAAAAAAACAGACATAGTATTAACTAACTGAACTAATCTTTGGGTGATATTGAAAAGGGATATAGGTAGGTATGTTTTCTTCTGCTACCTACTGCTACGATTTCGATATAGAATTCATGCTATAGAGGTAGTCATCAGGTGCAGCAGGGACAGAATCTGCTTGAGCAACAGGCTGTTGAGGTTTTGCTGATTACTGCGGAGACAGAGAGACCACTGGGCAGGATAAAGGATGTCAGATAATAGTTGTGGAGAAATGGAAAACCAAACAATTGGATTAAGTAAAAGATAAGGTGAAAGGAGTGTGAGGAGAAGAAAGAAGGCTTAAGTGGGCAGAAGGGAAAACAATGCACCCTAGAGTGGAAATAGTGGAGGGAGAGTGTCTGAGTCAGGACTGCTGCAAAAGGGACCACCATGTTTAACAGTGTCTGAAACCAGCAGGAAGTACAGGCCTGACATCCAGAGAGATGTGCAATCAAGACACTGATAGACTCTTCTGTGTCTGCTTGCATTTCAAAGTTTGACTCTACAGGGAGAGGAGAGTTGAAAAACTTCTAGTACATTTGGGTTAGTTGAATGGTTAACAGCAACGCAGTAGACAGAGTTAATATCTATGGTGCATGTTAGGTATTTGTTGTTACATGTCTTCTGATTGGAGCTGGCCTAAAGCGAGCCTAACCGGGTTTTCCAGGTAAAATATTTAAGGAATAATTTTATTAGTTCCAAACCCCCAGTAAGTTTCCATGGCTAAGTGAGAATTTGAACCTTGGCCTCCTGAGTCCTAGTCTGCTCCTCTATCCACTACACCAGCGGTCCCCAACCTTTTTGGGACTGCGGACCGGTTGGGGGGTGTGGGCTCCGTGCGCGGGGAGGCAGGGGTACCCCCGTGCTTGCGGGTGGGCGTGTCACGCTCGCAGTTGGGCATGTCGTGCTGGTGAAGGGACCCCTGCACTACACCACACTGGGTATCACATGTTAGGTGTACCCTGGTGGAAAACCCTTCATCCATCTTTGCATGCCCAAACACAGGCTGCTCATTTCAAAATAAAGAAAATTAACTTCTGCTGTAAATTCTTCCTTTGCATCCAGTGGAACACAGGACTGGGCTACAACCACAGCCGCAAAGGAGCTATAAAATCCCCCAGAACAAAATTGGTATTAACAGTCACATTTGGTTAAGAAGGCCACTTGTAATGTGTTTGCAATTCAGACCTTCTGTGTACAGATAATAATAGTTTCCCGTTAATTTTTAACCACTGAGGATAAAGGAGCTGCAGCTCACTGGTGGTATCTCAAGCCTTCATTCAGTCTCTAGTGGTGAGGGCCGGATATAGAATGATCAATATGCACAGAACTTCATGACTTTGGTCATGCTTTGCAACAACTAGGGAATGAGTATCTGTCCAAATCTGGCTTTCGCTAGTTGGATCTCTTTTTGTTTTTTGTTTTTTACAAAAGATAAGTTCCCTAAATAGGTCGTGTACATACAGCAAATAATGCAACTGTGTTTGTCCACATCCCAAAATCTGGAGAAAACAACGGAGCTGTTTAACATCAATGACACTGAACTGCCAGCAGGTGGTGCTTTGTGGTTTGGGAGCAGAATTGCAGCCTGACTAAACAGGATTTTTCTAAAAAGGGACTCCAAAACTTTACATAATCTCCTGAACTCTGTTGCATGTGTTAGTTACAAGTGGATAGCACTGCTCTGAAAAGTTCTGGACGGGAGCTGAACAAGGGCACAACAAAAACAAAACCCCTCGAAGGGCCAAATCAGCCATTTAGAGAAATCTGCTCCTCAGTTGTTTTAAAAAGGCATAATTTTCTGTTAAATGGAAAAGCACACATGCCATTGGGATCATGTCTGAAATGTAAACAATGGCATTATTTGCACGTCTAATTCTGTAACCATACATTAAAAAATCAAATCATATTCACCGCCTAGAGTGGTCATTTTGAACAGATAGGTGGGGTATAAATAAAATAAATTAAATAAAATGAAATAAATATTCAGAAATGTTGTAGGAAAAGGAAGGTTGCAATTCTCTGTATGTGTTTTTTTTTCCTCAATGGTAGGATGGTTGCTTTGGAAATGAGTTAAATGCTCAAGAAACATACACATGTGTGCCACACACCCTGCTCCCACTTGATTAACAGTAATTCATAGCTGATAAATGTTACCACAGCCAAGACTATGTTCATGGGCTGAGTTTCATCCTGACAGGTTCTGTTACCTGGCTTGATGTTGACTCAGCTTTCCGTCTTTCTGAGGTCTGTAAACTGAGTACCTGGCTTGCTGAGGGGGCAATGTGTTGTTTGCATCATTGTGTTGTAAACCTCCCAGAGAGTACTCTTAAGTACTATGAAGTGGTATAGAAGTTGAAATAATAAATGAAGGAAATAAAAATGAGGGGATTGGGAGGGAGAGACTGGTGGCACTTGTGAGGAGATGGTGCACTCGTTTGCCATGCCTCTTACATCTGATTTGGTTAGTGGAGAAAAGAGGAGGGTTTTTTTGTTTTTGTTTTTGTTCTGGCTTTCCTTTCTGGCTGTTCCAATCTCCAGATGCAAACCATGCAGGGGCTTTCTGGAAATTCTTGGATTAAATCCTGTCGTAAAGAGAAACTGGAATTCCTGATTTGGGCATATAATTAGTAGTCTCTTCTCCTCTACCAATAAAATAGGATTAACTGTTTAATTTAATGCATTGTGATAGATTTTAAAGTTATGGCCAGCAGATCAAAAAATACTACAAAACCAGAAGACGCAGATGCAAAACAATATTATTACAGCTCCCCTTAAATCACCCCTCCAGAATGGAACATTTATTTTCTTACTCCTGAAGTAACTGCTGTAGCTAGAGAAAGAATGGGATTTCTATCTGAGAACCAAAAAGAACTGAAATAGAACTGGGTTGATCAGCCAGGCAGATGGACAAGAACAAAGTAATCATGGCTAGTGAGCTCCAATATACAGGCTGCAGAACAAAATATCATGCTGTACTAACTCAGCCTCCTGGTGATGACATGCAAAATCTTTCAGATGGAGAAATATCAGTATGGCCTGTACTACATGTCCCTTTAATCCTTCCTTAATCTGCACTCACCCTTGGTGTGATGTTAATCCCCATTCTGGATTTAAAAGCTGCTTTTCTGGTTTCTTTTCTCTGGAGCAATGTTCACCTCTGATTTTACACTATATTACTTCATAATAACATATTATAATGGGATAAAAAACCCTCCGTTTTTTGTTTGCTGTAAACAGATTAACCTTTTCTTGGTGAGATATTCTCCATGTATGTCAGTTGTTTTTCCTGGTATGTGGAAAAGGCTGCATTGTTGGAATTCCCCATATTTGGTAGGTTATCTATGCAGTCCTGGACCCAATCTAGCCAAGAGCAAGCATACCAGCAGGCTATACAAATTTGCTCTGACCATCCCTGCTTGGAAATTATCCCACTTCCACAGTCTCTCCCCTTTCTTAGCTGTGGGAAGTTTACAAGCACCACAGTTGCTCTGGTGTAATCTTCCTCTAGTTTGAGGAATGATGATTTATCGTAAATGGTACATGTTAAAGATTTCTTGAGCACATAACTTAAACTGTTGATGGGATTGTTCTATTTAGGCGAAACCCCTAATGTTCTTCAGGAAGCAACAGTAAAGCTCATCGATTCTGAAACCTGCAATAGAAAAGAAGTGTACAATGGGGCCATAACACCTGGAATGCTGTGCGCTGGGTACTTGGAAGGAGGCATAGATTCCTGCCAGGTATGTCTTTTTTGTTTGTTTGTTTAATTAATCCTACCTAAATAAGGGTGCTTTTTCTGTGCATGTGTGTGTGTGGGTGGGGGGCATAGATATATGATGTATCACTTCCTGGCTTTGGATGTTTGAGATTCCTTCTTAAGGCTCTCTTCGTAGGCTTGGGTTCTTGCAACTGTGTTCACAATTCCATCCCAGAGCATTTCTAAGATGGGAAAAACCCAGCTTGTATTAACTTCTGCACTGCGGCATCTTTTCTGTAGAAGACAACAGCAAAGAATCCTATGGCATCTTTAAAACTGAGCATTTATTTTGGTTTAGATTTGAGTTTTCCAACATAGTCCCATGAGATACTGATATTGGTAAATATCTCTATACCTCATTAAAAAAAATAAAATGAGAGATGAAATGAAGGGACAGGAGTTTCAGCATGAAGATACTGCTGTGTACACTGTAGCAACATATTCTCCTTTGTCTACTGTATAGACTTATATTTATGTTCTTTTTGATGGCACATATCAGTGTTCATAGCCTTATAGAGCCAAACACTTCAGCTTTTACACAAAGATACGTTGCAAGAACAAGACATATCTCCAAGAGGATGTGGCTTGCATCTTTACACCCATCTGCCTCACCAACAGACATTTTTAGAAGTTTTTCCTAAGGATTGTGAGCTACTGCATTTCTCCATGCTTTTCTTCTAAAGCTTTATCTCTTCTGTTCCTTTGTATTCTACCTCTTAGCCTTCTTCCTCATTTTTAACATTTGTGTTTTTATTTCCACGTTTTCCCTTTCCCAACCTGGTCAGTGTTCATGATACAATCAGTATCTTTTAAGAAATGCCAAAGCTAATGCACCACTAATAGATGTGATGATAAAAATATTAAAAGGTTAACTGTTTTAGCCTTATTGCAATCTGTGGAATGCCTATTCTCCCGGTGTGGCAGCTGGATTCAAGTGAATTCAGCAACTGCTATTCAGCATGCCATATGCAGTTCCCAGTGGAAGCATGGCCTCCTTGTAGCCCCTCTTTTTGATGCAGCTGGAAATACACATTAAAGAATTGCTTCTGTGCTCAGAGTAGCCTCACCTGCCTCTGAGTAAATGCATGGCTCTTTCATAGCTGCTGCATAATCTTTAGATTGATATCCTGTTGCCTCTGGTTGTGAAATGCTTGAAAATAGGCAAGAAGAAGAAAAGAAAAAGAAGAAAAAAGAAACTCATTACCACTTTTAAAACTAACACACACTCACCAGGTTTTTGCAAAAGGCTGCCCCTTTAAGTAGTCTGTTCTTGCCATTAGAAAGAAAGAAAGAAAGAAAGAAAGAAAGAAAGAAAGAAAGATAGATAGATAGATAGATAGATAGATAGATAGATAGATAGATAGATAGATAGATAGATAGATAGATAGATAGATAGA